TTTCTTTTCTTTTTTAATCAAACAAAGTATCTCTCCCTAATGCCATACTTATTCACCCAACAGATTAGTCTTTTGTGCTATACCATTTCAAAAGCTTTGCTAAGATCCTGGTAAATCATGTTTATAGGCTCCTCTGTCAGCACTTGTGGCTACTCTCTCAAAATAATCTTTATTGAAAATTTTAAGCATGATCCTCCCTTTGTGAATCTTTGCCCTCTATCCTTCATTAAATCCAAACTTTCTATGTGTTCTTCTATCATGTCTTTGATTAGCCTTTCTCTCATGTTCCTCACTGTTTAAATCAAGCTCACAAACCAGTAATTTCATGCATAATCCTTACAACCCCTGTTAAATGTCTGTTTAGTAGCCTTTTCCCAGGCTGCTGATATCTCTTCTTAAAAGACTGTAGATTTATCTGCTTAATGTTTCCTTTTATCTTCAGCTCTTTTCTCTGAGAATTTGGGGATGGATATTTTTCTGTGTTTGTAAGTCACTTTTTGTATACTATATTCCATTATATTACATGTAATCCATACTTCACTCTTCTCCATAGGGAGGATATGCCACAAGCTCCACGACAAAGCATTTTTTAAACAGTATTGGTTTCCTTGATTACATATGCTATTTCCAGATCTTCTGTATCCCCCTTTTAACTGAATACTTGTTCCCTATATGAAATAACCAAAATTAAGTTTTATAGCTTCTAGTGCACAATGCCTACAGTCTCTCAGGCTTGCAGGCATCTCTACTTTATTCTATACTCCTTTCACACCTCTCTTGCATGCACTACCAAAAATGGCTTTGACATGTACCTGTTAACCTACCAATGACCTCCTGTTTACGCCTAGGTACATTATTTACCCTTGTCACACCAGTTAAGGGGACTTTGAAGGTTTTCTCCCCTCAGTTTCAGCACAGACTGAGGGTATGGATCAAGGACACAGCTGAGACACTCTGCTGCTGCCAAGAGAGCGATGCCACACCTCCCTATCTCCAATTCCCCTCTCCCAGACCAATCATTCACTCACACTTTCCCTGGCATTAAATCCAGGGTGGAGCTAATGCAACCTGTTAAACCAACAGAAAGGTAACCTGACAAGAGAAAGTGAATAGCTTCCAACAAATCATACACAAAACCATGTTAAAACTTGCACATTAACTACAGCAACTTGCCAGTGCTAACTCCTAATGCTGCCAGATGATTTTTTACATCATCGTTTTATTAAGCGTTAGCAGTGTGCTTGGCCTTGCATAAGGCACAAGAGCAACCATGGTCCCAGTTTTTTTGTCTATTTAGCCATTTTTCATCATAGCTCAGATTATCTTTGACAGTACCTTAATTGAGGATTTCTTTTCTATCTTCCTGGATGCTTATTTTGTCAACCTTAAGCTCTTATAAAACTAAGCATATGTTAGCCAGTTTCACTGCATAGTTAGCTATCTATCTTGCTTATGGGGCACTGTCATCTTGCATTTTTTTGAACTGACTAATTGCTAACTCTTCTCATTGCTCACACAACACCCTTTAATTAGCATTTCCTGATTGCTTTTAAAAACCTGTTCATAGTGATTTTATGAGGATTTTCCTGTTCTTCTGCTTTTGTTTAGCAGGGTCTTAAATATAACGGGGTCTCAGTGTACATGCCTAGAGAAAAAATACAATCCATGCTGTAAGGTAAGCAGAATGAAAAATGGAAGACAAACATTATTTTTTTCTAATTTCTTTCATTATGGTTACTTATTGCTTTAGTACACAAAATTCACCGAGTCAGAAATACAAATGTTCCTTCTAGCAGTACTTTCCTCTCTACTCTGCTTGAAGTCATGGTCTGCTGTTCTGTCTTTCACCTTTACATTCTGGAGTCTGCAACTAATCACATTTGTCTTCAGTGTCTCTTAGTTACAAACCTTTCCTTCCCCTGACTGATGAAGTGCCTTAACTTTCAATGTCTCTCATCCCACAGAAAGAACCACATCTTGCAACATTCAAAAATAACACCTCTTCTCTTTGAGCTCTCTAATCCTTTAACTCTCTCTAGGTCTTTGAAACTCAGTACTGAAGTAACGTACCTGTCAGAAAAGTAACTCTAAAACCTAGCAGCACATGGCTGTGTATTTTTTTCTCTCAATTACTTCATAGCAGGTTTACATAGTTTATGAGTACAAACAGCTTTAAGTACTCTGAATTTGATTTGGGATCTGAAAAACAAATATGCTTCTTTCTGTCTCTCTGTCCTACGGCCTGATACTGGTTGAGGCCAAGCCTTTGAGCACTGCAAGTGTATGTGATGAGCAGTGCTCAGGAATCCAGGTTGACTGTCTCAGCAACTGAACTTCCTGTCAGCATCCCCACCTCTGTCTCCTTACAGTGCACTTAAATGCTGCTGCCAACCTGAGACCCTCTGAAACCAGAGAGCTGCTAACCCATCAAGAGGCAGCCCAACATTCAGCATCTCAGTGTCAGAGCAGCTGTGTGGCTATGGACATTAAGGAGAAACTATGATCAAGACTGCACTGATGATTTTGCAGATGACATGGCATCAAAGCACAGGCAGTAGAGCATGACTTGGCAGGTCTGAGATGCAAAAAACTAATATTCTGAGCAAGCTGATAGACTTTTTTCCTTTTAAAGTTGCTTTTTTCCCCTTTAAAAAAGGCATACTGAGACAGACTGTCATTCAATAAAGCCACTACTTTCTTCACCAACAATCAGCAACAGATGTAGCCCAATAAAATTAATAGTTTGCAAGTACGCACAGGAGAATGCTCTTTTGTCTCTTTTCTCCATCACAAATTTTGTAAAAGCTTTCTGGATTTTAACAGAAAGGCAAAATCATGGGCTTTTTATATACCTTGTTTGGTTTGACTTAAACATTAAATCTGCTTTTCTCCCACACTATGGAAAATTAATGCTGATTAATTTCACTTTCCGAAGTACGACTCGGGACCCTCCCTCTGCCCTTAACTGTCCACTTTCAACTCAACATTTATTCCTGCAGAATTCTGGGCTATAATTTACTAAGATAATTTAATCCTACAGAATAGAACTTGTGCTCAAAAATATGCAACATTAATATTAATGTACAAACAGAAATATATTACTCATACATAATATATAAGAAATTAATTTTCATTGAAGTATCAGGAGAAGGATTAAACCCCTTAGATCCTTCTCATGCAATTAGCTCTGCACTTGGGGAAGTCAATGGGACTTCACAAATGAAGGCTTCACATGATAACACTGGCAAGACTGGGGTTTCACAAAGGCTTGCCTACACTACGAAATATGCCATGAACAGAGTTCTATGATCACACTGCTGTAATTATGGTACTACACTATATGGATACTCTTAGGCCACATCAATGTTAACAAATATACTGGTAGCAATTGAGCTGGCACACAGCTGCTGACACTGCAATGCTGCTTGACTGCGTGCCCGGTTGAAAAACCTCTGCTGGGGCAGCACAGCTGCCCGAGGAAGTGGTGTACCAGCAAAACAAGTACTCTGCTGAGCCAGTCTTCAACGCTATCCACAATGATTTGTGTCTAGCTGTTTTCTCCTGTGAAGACATACTTGCTTTCCTCTAAGGGAATTAAGGGAACTTCCCAGAATTCCCTCTGTCCTATTTCATAATCTTTTACTTTCCCATTGCTTCTTAAAATTCCATCAGTTCCTCTTAGGTACATCCTGTAATAAGCTCATTTCTTTTTGCATGGGGCTTCAATTTACTAAAAAAAAAAAAAAAAAGATTGAAGAATTTGTTTCAGTAGCAGAATGTCGTAATTCTAGATCTGCAGGACTTCAGCCACTCCACCACCATCACATAAACTACCAGCTGTGAAGCAGAGAACATAACTGAGGAGCTATAGTTAAGATGGTTCAGGAAAATCATCAGGTGATGCCCTGACTAGGCCTACAAAAGAAGCACCAAGCAGCAGAACAGAATCAGTTGCAAGTTGGCCTCTGTCAGTGATGGTTGCAAGGTTTTCATACGTAGAAAGCCATGTTCCTAGAATTTGGCACTGAACTTATTCCAGTCATCAGAGCAGAAAACAAAAAGAGGACTGCTGTAGCACTGGGAAAACAAATACAAAAGGAAATCTGGAAGCTTGGAGTCTCAGATCATTTTTTGTTGGTGAACCATCCCATTTCCTACTGGAAAATGTAGAGGAAGAGGTGGCCTTCCAGATATGAAAAGCCATTAAGTGTGCCTTTTTGCTCAGAATGCTGAATCTGGATAATAGATAAAAAACAGAGTAAGTCCATCCCACACAGGATACTAAAATTGTGGAAGTATGATTGAAGGGGACAAATACCTCCTTCTTTCCTACCTCCCACCTTGTTTTTGAGTACACAAGCAGCAAGCAATTTTTAAATGCCATATTTGTAAATGGCTGTATTTTTAAGTTGCTCTTCAGAGGCATTTCACAGGTATTACCAATGATCAATGAATGCATGTGAGGCTTTCATCTTGATGAATTCAGGCCTCCAATAAAATCTGCAGGCAGGAGTTTTTACACATTATTACTGATAGGACTGTACTGAGATGCCCAGTATCAGGAGAGGCCCCTTTTATTCCCTGACTTACAAAGCCATCTACTTAGCAATAAAGATTTAGCCACCGTGATGAACACAGTAACATCAACATACATCTGGTAGATAGGCCCAAAGAATGGTGGAAACCACAGAATCACATAATGGTTGAGACTGACCTCTGGGGGTCCTCTGGTCCAGCCCTCCTGCTCAAGCAGGGCCATCTAGAGCCAGACCATGTCCAGATAGCTTGTGAGTATCTCAAAGGATAGACAGCCTCTCTAGGTAACCTGTGCCAGTGCTCAGTCACCCTCACAGTAAACGTGTTTCCTGATGTTCAGAGGGAACCTCCTGTGTGTCAAATTGTGCTCACTGCTGTTGTGAAGAACACGTGCAAGGGACTGAGAAACTGCATGCATAGCAAAGTGATAAGGAAGCTGGACTGCTGAAAAACAAAGATGTTTGCCTAGTAGGAGAGCGGCGTGTGGACACTACAACAGGACCAATCATAGAGGGCAAAAGGGAGCGTGGACAAGTAGCTTTAGCCTATTAGCAATCAAGTAGCTGCGCGTGTACTTTATGGGAGACTATAAATTGCTGTGTATCCTTTAATAAAGTGGCATTAACTCGATCACATTGGTCATATAAGTTATGTCTGGGACTTCCGCGTCAGCACACTGCCTCTTGTCCTGAAATGTCCCATGGCAAGACAAATGTCAGCAGGAGACACATTTCTGCTGTCACATACAGCAGAACACACTGTATAAAATACTACATGTAATGTTTTATACAATAATCTGTAGTGCAATGCAGGAAACGGAATGAATGAAAGCTGGGTTTGGGAGGAAAAAAAAGTACCTAAGGGTTTTGAACAATCAGGTATAAGATCAATTACTAGTCATCACAGAACTATGGGAGGTCAAAGAAACAAGATGCTACATATCAGGTGGTTCATTCATGTTCATTTTGTAGAACTTTGTGAAACAATCAGTACTGGGGCTAAATATAAATTTTAAATTAATGGTTAGCTCATTTTATTTCTTTGATGACAGAGCAACAAATTCCTGTGTTATGCTTGTTGTATGAGACAAGTAATACACACATTATGTAAAACAACTTTATTAAGCAGTGGTAAAAAACTTCTCAAAATGTTTACAGTCACTTGAGAAGGTGGTCTGTGAGCACCACAAAGAACAGATCACGAGTTCTTATGGATTCATCTGCTGTGACTGATTGAATTTTGTATAAAAAACAAATATAAACTTCAGTTAAAGCCATCTTCCTGGTTTGGATCTCTAAAAGGCCTCTTTCCTGTCTGGATTCTATAAACTGCTGGGTCACCTCTCTTCCCAAACGCTGTAAAAACTTTATAGGTTTTGAGATTCCTATTCATCTACTAAGTTTTTCTTGAAAGTCACCCAGAGTTGTCCAAAAGTAAGAAGGGGAAGAGAGAGAACTCTCTAGAGGTATGAAAACCAGCAGACAAAAAGAGACATGCCATGATCTCCCGTATCTTGTTCCTAAAGATACTCAGGCTAGAAAAACAGGGGAAATTTCTTGTTGTTTCTACCCAGTTCTGATGTCAGAATACAAATACTCATAACTATTCTGATTTTCTTCTGGGGCTGTGCAGAAGGGAAACTGTGGCATGTTACTTTGGTCACTTGGCCAACAGATACACGCACCGTGAAACCCTCATGAGGACAGTGGGTTGCACAGCTGACCTGCTGGGAGTATACATCTCAGGATGTTTTGTCTCATAAAGCTTTGTTGAATCTACATTTGCCCTCTCTAGAGATGCTTAAGTTCTTCATCCACATTCCTGTGTCCCTCTCTAGTTCTTCTGCCTTTCTTCAAGCAGGCATTCCCCACCACCACCACACTGTATCACAGAAATCTTGGTTTGGTGTTCTTGAAAACTTTGGAGAATATGTTATCCTTTCTTCTCCTCATGCAAAGTTTTCCACAGGTGTGAAAAAGGTGCCTCTCCAAATTCCTCATCTGAAGCCTCTGACAAATAACAAGACAGACAAACTATTAGATTTTAATGATCAGTGGACAGGAAACTAAGCAAACACTACAATTACCCCTCTGTTCAGCAGCTCCCAGACAACATATGGCCTTCCTTTCACAGACTGAATTCATGGTGTGTGTGAGGAGGTGGGAAGTTTGCTGTTTACCTTTGGAAGGATTTACAGCAAGAGGATAATAACTAACACTATCCTTGTTAAATTCTGAGAGGCGCTATCTCAGTTCACTACTGAAAATGTAAAGACAAAGAGAAGAGAAATGCTTAAGCCTCTATCCTGTTAACCACTTCATGGCAGTGTTACTACCAGAAATTGGAGCATAGTGTAGTGTGAAGGAAGCCTACTGTGGCAAGAGAAACGGGGTAGCCTTTCCTAAAAATACATATGGTCACATCTTAAATAACATTTTCCTGAGAGCAATGTCAAAACAATGAAAGACAAAAAAGGTATTTATAGTGAGCTCATTCTGAAACTCCAGATGCAGAAAATACATTTGCCACATATTAGTTCCACAAACTAATTCAAAGCCAAATCTTTGTGCCAGCAACAAACCTTCTTTACCTTTTTCTGTCCCTGGATCCAGAATCCAGCATGAAAATCACTTGTTCTGGGCCTGGATTCACTGACAGGAAATCCAAAGCACTACTTCTTACGTTTACATTGCAAGTTTATGTGCTTATTCATAAAAAATCCTGTAGCCAGAATGATCGACTTGGATTGCTGATGAGGAGGATTATTTTAATTTCTTTATGTATTTCAATTAAATGCATGAGTATTGATTTCAGTGCATTTTTTCAGTTAAAAGCACAGTGATTTATATTGCTAAAATGCTATTGCCTGCCCTGCCAAAAGCATGCATCTGGGAACATTTCTGGGTTGCTCACAGTCTTTTCTCTCTTCTTTCCGCCTCTGACTGCCAGTGCATGCTGTTGAAACAAACCAGCTACTTCAAAAGGCAGTTCCTGTTTTCTGTCTTTGTGAGTCTGGCAGTGTTTTGAGAAGGGGGAAAAATAGTAAGAGAATAAAGGTAGATTCAAGGCCCATGAATAAAGAGAAAACAGTGTAATGATGAAACAGTACACCTACCTGAGCTTCATTCTTTCTCCCAGGGTGATACCATTTCTGGATTCATCTGAGGTCGAATAAGTTGAGTTTCAAGGAGCCACCTGCTCTCCGCAGCATCTGAATTTTGTGACCCCGTCTCTACAAGCTCATTGTCAGCCTGCACTTTCACGGCTCCTTCCAGAATGGTGCTGTGATGTGCCCAGTGTCCCCTGCTGTGACATGCCCATCCTGGCATACAGCTCTGCACAACCACAACAGGACAGAAGAGCGGCCCCAGATTCAGACTTATTCTGTTTCTTCAGCTGGTGTGACAGTTGCTAGGTCTCTCCTTTGTGCAGCACTTTTGATACTCTCTACTACAGTGAGTTTCTGCAAGTCTTTTGCAACACCTAAATAAGCATCTTTATTCCTTTAGTAATTTGGCAGTGTACTTGCACTGCTCCTTCTCTTCTCAGGACCAGAAAACCCAAAGTGTTCTTGTATTATTAATGAAGGACTGTCTGCATTGCCACAGGTAATACAGTATTCACATGAGCTTCATATTCATGGAACAAAGTGACACAAACTTAAGCTACTTACAGAAGCAATTATGATTGCTGAGCAGCTACTCTGGAAGTTACCAACAGGACTCCAAACTGAGTACAGTTGCACATATGGATACACTAGCATAATAGGTTTTACCAGTAAACTGTTGGTGCAAGCTGGAGTCCATTCCCTCCTCCCCTGCCGGCTAGGCAATTAACAATAGAACTATTATCATACATTTACGTCGGTATGATTCTGCATGTACAGAAGTCGCAAAGCTTAAGAAGTGAGGGCACACCTTCTGCTGAGTCAGGAGTTCTCTCATTAGGTGCACAACAGTGTATTAAGGAGGAACAAGAGAAGCAAGGCCACACAGTTTTTCCTGAATACTGCTTTTCATCTTTCAAGTGCTTTACAAAGCAATGTATCACAATTAAGTGTGGCAGCACACTTTGCAAGAACTATCAGTCTTATTTTCTGAGTAAGGAAAATGAAGTAGAGATGTTCCATGTAGATTTGTCAGAATCAACAAAGCAAACGAGTGACAGAAAAAGGACTGATGTCTAGTTCCTGATTCACTATCGTATCAGACCTTGTTCTCCACTTTTAAATATTAACTATCACCAAGAAGGTTATTATCCTAGCCCAACAGTGTGCTTGCAATGATTCAAGATCTTTACAAGAAATGTACAACCTGCATTCAGCATCTCATTAAGCTCAAAGAATAAATCACAGATTTACCAATTTTAGAGCTTTTGCAATAGCTAGCTATCCACAATCTGCCTGTTCGACTTGTCTGACAGCTTACAGGGCTGAAAGAGTTCTGACCCGTTCCTTAAGTTGTAACCAATGATGAGCATTGCCCGTCATTTCCCACTCCAACTGAAAGGTAACTTTCAGTGATGATGATTCAGGTCAACATCTTTCACTTAGCAAACAGGGTGAGCTCAGCAGGTGATGGGCTTGGCTGACGACATTATACCATGTTAAGATAATTGCACCCTATCATGTCACTGAGTACAGGCTAAAAGGGAAGTTTTCAAGTTCAACCATAAGAATACTTGGCAAAGAAGCCAGAAGTGACATTTTTTAGTGTTATCTTTTATCTTAAAAAGGTATTTTATAGTATTCTTACCATAGTATCTATTACTGAGTAACAAAGGGTATTCAGCACTACTAATGGTCTCCATATTTTTCTTGACTTAGGAAAGAAATTTCCTTTATATAAAGGTTGAAATCTCAAACCACATGACTCTCAATAATGCAAATGAAACCTTCACTCCTTAATATTATGATTTTGTTGTTGTTGTTGTTGTTGAAAATTTCCCCAAAATAGCATGTTTAAGTAGCCATCTTCAACATCCCATTCAATTCAAGAAATATCCTTCCAGTGCAGTAGCAAAGTCACTGACTAATAAAAAAACTTTAGAAATCCAATTTGTTTTTACTGTTTGTGTTATATGCTTATGTTTTCATTTCCCTCAGCCTGGACATCCACTCTATACTGTTAAACATTTGTGTATTACCACTTTCAATTTTGATTTTCATTGCTATAATGCTTGCGTCACTACAATTTGAAACCAATAATATCTGTTAGAAAAATAAATTATCTTTCAGGATTTTACAAACATGCATTTATGGTTTCCAGAAGTATTAATGCTCTATCAGGAACTTGATAGCTTTGTTCTTCCCATGAGAAAAGAATCTGAAAGTCTACGTTACTTGTGTGGAGACTAGAACCACAGACACTGAAAAAAATCATTTGCAAGCACTGAATGGGGGCAAGGGACAAATGGTGATTTGAAAGCAGGTAAATGCTATTCACAAATCTTGCTGTAGTTTAAAAGGCTTTTTCATCTTAAATACATTTCTAAGAGAAAAATCGACATGAGTAAGAAGAGGGAACATGATGCCAATCAGAAGAAGACATAGGAACCCTGATTATACCTAATCCAAGTACAAGAAGATTCACTGATGACACTGAAGGTAACTGACCTTATCACCACAATAGACCCGCAAACCTCTTTTTGTCTAGTTTACAAGCAAGAGAAAGACAAGTTGGTAACATCACGGCAACTGTCTTAACACACATGACTCTGAGGTAGCTTGGAATTGGCTTGAGGTAGCAGGAATTGGCTTCCAACAGGGCTGGGAAGAGAGATTTCATGTAGTCATTTGGGGAAAGATGACAGAAACAGAAACCGGGATGACTGAACTACCAAAACCATGCAGCTGCTAATCCTGTGGTTCCCACCCAGTAGCAGTACTACAGGACGATCTGCAGCAAATGGGAGCCATTCCTTTTCCCTCTTCTTTGAAAAGAAGGTATTTCTTAGACCTGCAGTTCTCAGTCTAACAACCTGCTCCTTCCATAAACCCCACACCACATCCTATTCCCCATGTGTCCCCCACCACCACCCAATGTGCAAACTAGAGATGCAGAAGTCATGAAAACATAGGGACCTTCCCTGGCAGATGCATCCTGCCTGGTACTTCACCCTCGTCTCCCACCTCCACTTCCCATTTCCTGGCACTCCAGGCCCTGTGCTACCCCAGCGGCCTTCTCCCAGCCTATCTTCATCTATGTTCTCAGCAGCTCCACAAATACCTACCTCTTGGTTCACATATCCTTTTCTGTCTTCCCTCCTCCCTCTCTGCCTCCCTCCTGCCCTCCAGTTTGCACAACACTGTTGGATGACAAGCTGCGAGATTTCCTACCCAACAGATGGGCTCACAAACAGGGAGTGAGAAAGGTGATGGAAGAGCTGCAGCTCCCCAGACACACGGTATCCATACACATTCACAGCAATCGGTTGCACCCTGATTGTACCATTACAGGCTAAAAGCTTTCTTGAAACAAAAGCTATTATTTCTTATCATTTGTCTGTGCTGTGTCTTTAGGTTTCTTGAACTGTAAGGGGTCATTATGCAAGACACCATGCCTAAAATATTAACTCTAAGTCATTCTACTGATGATATTTCTGAAGATAAAACAGATTCCCTCAGCACATGACCCCCCCCTACCTTCCCATATACAGGTGTTATTACTTGGTCACTGGTGACTAAGGAAGCAGATGAAATATTTCAAGAGTTTGATATTTACTTTCTAAGTTATGCTGCATGAATGGGATTTCAATCATCACGCACTAGGTGTTTCAGCGACATCAAAATGTTGTTCATCAGGAATGGAAAGAAAAACACAAGCAATTGCATCCAAAGGACTGATTTCCCAATTTACCTTAGGCTAGCGTTGTACTTCTACTTAATCAAAATATGCTATAAGAGGAGAAAATGAATGTCTACAACACAATTTACAAAAAAAACCCTCAATTTGTTGCTCACAAATATTTTTTAAAAATCCACCCCTTATGCCAGCATTCTGGCTCCCTGTATTCTATTCCTCTGTTATTAATGCTCTCTGCCGTAAGCACAACTTCTAGCTGGGGATTCCAGCACGTAAGGGAGCTAGGGTAAGATTCCAGATCTCAGTTGTGCTGGCATGAAGATAGGTCTCCTCAGTGATACAGAAGACAATATCCTAGGGAGACTGGAATTAGTCCTATTCCGCACAATTCAATCCAAGATGTAAGGCATATCAAGAAGCAAGTAATTACTAGCTAATGGCTACGGATGGAAATGTAACATGGTTCAGTCTAAGCGTTTGATGAGAAGTGACAAGACAGCTTGAAAAAAAGGGGGATTTTTTCCAAAAGGATGGAAGTTGTCAAGAGCAAAGAAAAAAGGGTTACCTCTTCAGTTTGGGAGGGGCTGATTCTGGGCATTGGAGATACTTGTGGTGTTTTCAGCTGTGTACTGTTGCTGTCTGGAACAAGTTCTCTGTGGATTGACTGAATATGGTTTTGGAGTTCACTTTCTGATTCAAATTTAACATTGCAACTAGAACATCGAGTCTTCAGTCCCCCTGCCTTGCTTTTGTTCTCAATGGAACTCAAGTTCTCATTTTGGCCCATGCCTTGTCTGTTACTGCTTGAAGGGATGTTGACACTTGGACTACCACTTTTACTGAGATTAACACAGCTAGCACACAGACCGTATGGCAGACCATTGATGTCAAGTTTCACTAAATCCTGTTTTGAGCGGAATTCCTTCAGGCAAGAAGCACACTTGTACAGTTTCTGGAGATGCTGTGTGCGTCCCGTGGACTGCACGGCAGAACCGTTTCCAGTTTTCTGCATGTGGAACGTGCCATGGATTTTCAGTTCCAGCGTGGAGGTCACTGTCTGCATGCACACCACACAGCGAAACCCCGTCAAGGAGTTCCTCAAGTCAGGGTGCATTTGGCAATGCTCTAAAAATTCCTCCTCACTCTGGAGGGGCATCTTGCAAATCCTGCAGTTTCCAGTGTCCAGGCTCTTACTATGTGTGACCTTATGTTCAGTAAGAGTCAGAAGAGATGGAAACCGCTCACCACAGATTGGGCACATATAATGTTTCACTGGTCCCAAGTGTGTCTGCATGTGTTCTCGGAGCCCATTTTCAGAGAAGAATGTTCGAGAACACACATTACACTTGTAATTCCCTTTAATGAGTTCAGCCTTTTTCTTCACTATGGCACTTTCTCCAGGTCGAATGTTGTGGTCTCGAAGCTGGTGATTCTGCAGGAGAGTCTCCATGGTATAAGCTGCTCCACAAATGTCACAGCCATACATAGGCTCAGATGTGTCCACATCTTCTTCGCTGCCATCGTGGCTGTTATGGGACTCCTGGCTATTTGTCAACAAGGTCTGGAGTTCCACTTCCTCTTTCTGAACCTGCTCAGATGCCCCATTAGTTCCACAGTTTGGAGTCTTCGTTTCAAAAACACAATGTTTTTCCCTTAAATGCTTTTCCAGCAAGATGATAGCATGGAAAGCTTTGCTGCAGAACTTGCAGTTGTACTTCTTGCTGTGTGTAGTAATGTGACACTGCAGCTCCACCTCTGTACCAAAGGACTCGCCACAGAAGATGCACTTGTGTACTTTGCCTTGGTTCTCCAGGTGGTTGTGTTTAACATGAAGCTGTAGGTCAGTCTCATTGCGGAAATCCCAGTTGCAAGACGTACATCTGTATACCTTCTTTTCATTGCTGTGCTTCACAGCCAAGTGTAGCTGAATAGAGACTTTCGAGTCAAAAACCTCTTGGCACAAGGTGCAGCGGAAGAACACAAATGTATGCATGTCCAGTAGGTGTTTCTGCAAGTCATCCACTGAAGTGAACTGCTTGTCACAGCTTTCACAGATGTAGTAGGTTGAGGTGATCATGAAATGAATGGTAACATGCTTCAGCAGAGACTCCTGATTTGGAAATTCCTTGTTGCACTGAGGGCAGGTCAGTTTTGGCAGGACAGTGTCCAGATGTGTTTTTAAATGAGTCTGAAAACCGTCCAAGGAAGTATACTTAGCACCACACTGATTACAAATATATTCACCTGCAGGACGAGGAGGAGCACCTCCAACCGCCTGCATCATCTTTAAAGAGGTCTGCTCAATGGTTACAGGAGATAAGGGGCTCATGGCTCTGGATTTTTTTCCATTGTGGATGTAATTCAGTGCCAAAGGAATGTTCTTATGGTTCTCCTTGATATGCTTGTTCAGTTTAAGAACACTATTAAATATTGGAGAATTAGTACAGTAAGAACAAGAATACACTTCCACCACTGGATCTTTTGGGGTTCCAAGCACAGGGGAACCAAAACGGGAACTGCTAAGATCACAATGGACTTGTCTAATATGCTCTTCCAGAGAAGAATCTGTAAGAAATCCCATGTAGCAATGGGGACAAAAGAATGCATTACTGTCCTTAGCAGCAGGATTGGCAAATCCATGAGAACATCGGATGTGTTCCTGAAGGGTGTTGAGGTCATTGAACACTTCAGAGCAGAAGTTGCACTGGTACACCATGGCGGGCATGGTAGAAACAATCAGTGCTGGGTCCGGAGCTTCATGGACTTGCTTAAGATGTTCATTCAGATTGTAGAGAGATGGCAATACCTCCAAACAATACTGACAGATATGGGCTTGTTCGGGTTTATCTAAATGCATAGTTTTCAGGTGTATCTGCAAAACTGCAAGGCTGGAAAATAACTGCTTGTTGCAATAAATGCAGCTATAGGTAACTTTTGCCTGTTTACTTGAAGGACCAGTGATATCTGGCACTTGCTGAGCTGCCCGCTTCCTTCCACGACCTTTTGGTATGGGAGGAGCTGTTTCCACCATTGTTGAACTATCCACCGAGAGATTCGAATCTGGAGTGGTGCTAGAGACTGAGGTGTAGCCCACAGTTACCAACGACGGGCTGTTGCTGTGGTTGCACGACTCTGGCTGCTGGTGACTGTCCATGTGGCTGTACAGCTCCTCCACAGTATGAAAGTTCTCAGAGCAAATGCTGCATGAATTCTTCTTCTCACCATTATGAGCCTGCTCCATGTGATTCACCAGAGACGTTTCCTCTACAAAGAGTTCATGACAGTAAACACACTGAAGAGCAGATCGGTCTTCATTAGGGGAACACTCGGGGTGACATTCTGCAATGTGCTTCTGAAGATCTTCAGGAAAATCAAAGCCTTCTTCGCACTGGCTGCATTTCTGAGTGTCTTTCATTTTCCAGTCCTCCATCCGGGAAGCGGACTGAGAGCCATCTTTGTTCCTCTCGTGAACCTGCATGTGACCATGCAGTGAACTAGACGACAGGAATCCACGCCTACAAATGGCACACTTATATGGCTTGTTGGACGTATGAGTCTTTAAGTGTATTTTAAGATGATCACTCCTTGAGAATGCTGCATCACACTCGCTGCAGTGATACTTCTTGTCTCCCGTATGAAGCTTTATGTGGCGGTCCCTGCTCCGTTTGTGTTTAAAGAGACGACTGCAATATGTGCATTTGAAAGGGAGCTTGTCACTGTGACTTTGCTCGTGGTGCTTTAAGTAGCTGAGGCGGCTGAACGATTTGTCACAAAACTGGCATGGATAGGGCAACCCTGGGCCTCCTTCCTCTTCACCAAAATCACAACCTTCTCCATGGCTCGGGGAAGTCTGGTCCTTGCTAGAAGGTGATGATGCTGGCCATGAGCAAGTGGGGTCATCCTCAACATCCACTCCATCTGAAATGAGAAAGAAACATGCCCACAAGCTTAATCCCTACAGTTCAAAGGAGATAGCAAATGCATATGAACAACACAGATCTGCCACTCCTAAATAGCTAAAATGTATTAGACTAGGGTATTTCTTACACCTGTATCCACAGCTTCAAGACCACGTTTATTTTTATCAGACTGTAAAACATTAAAAGTTATTAAATAGTTCTGTGCTTGTATTAACTTTTTATTGCTTTCTTATCATTCTTTCTCAGTTGCAGGATATGCATTATACATTGACAACTTTATTAAAATGCAGATTTTAATATATTTAATGTTTCTTTTGTATCAATTGTAAAATGATTTGCATATTTTGTGAGCATCCAAAGAGTCAAAGGAAAGGAGAAAATATTACAGGAATGATTTAAAATTAATACAGTAACCCACATGCCTAACATTTAATGAAAAAATTCCCCCTGCTTTGCCACAGGGTTGGTTTTTTTTTTCCCCTCAAGTTGATGTTGAACACAGAAATCTTTTATAGGCTATTACTGAGAGAGACTTGGGTGTTATTCTAAACAGTAAGAGGAAAAATTACAGGGGAGGAACAGGACAACAGTATAAACAGTGATGTTTTCACTAATAAAGTGCAACCAGATTTCTCCAATAACAATACAATTCAGTTACTGAAAGCTGGCAGCTGGATCATTAAATGTTCAGAATAAACTAACAAACCAACAGTCAGGATCAAGGAAAATGAGAAAGTTTCAAAAGGGTCAGTTGTGAACAGCATTTTTTTTTCCTTTTTAAGTTCAAGAGGTTGCCCACCATTTCTTCCTTTTCGCAAAGGCCTCAGCCAGCTGAACTTCCTCAGTCCAGCAAAACCTGTACTGTGAGGTGATCACAGACAAAGCAACTTGTAAAAAACTGGAAACAGGAAAAATGATAAACAATTAAGGTAAAAGCTGAATGATTCATGAGTAACAAGGAAAAGACAAAACAGAAATGCTAGCCAGATAACTAATTCAACTAGTTATCCATGATACTACCTCATCTATAGACAAGGCAAGTAGCTGGTTTTTTTCAGTGGTGTACAGTTTTTCTACCCTTTTTAAAAAATGTAGATTACAACACTATGATGATCATACTTATCTTAACCTAAAACTTCTTTAAAAATATTAAAAGAATGCTTGAAAAACCACTCTACATCAAATAATTCTTCTATTCCTTTCCAGGGGCAATGCTTGGGTTTTTTTTCCTTTTAAAAGTAAAACTGACTACAGTACAGAAAAAGACAGGATAAACCTCTTGAAAAATATCTTTCTTAAGGTATTCTTGCCAAGCAGTAAGATTCTTAACATCTTCAGCTTTCTCTCAAGAAATTTACTACACCAACATAAAAGTTAGAGCCGGCCTGTATTTGTGTAAACAAATTCCAAGCCTGCGTTCTTTAAAGTAACAAGATTTTACTAGATTATCAACCTCTTGCTTATCCACAGGAAACAGATGAGGATTCATTCCTTTCCTGCATCTAGAAACTGATGACAACACCATCTCACTATCAGTGCCAGATGGCAACCATCTAACTCTGAGAAAACAACCAAACACCATTGCTGGATGCCTGCCCATTGACACAATGCTTTTCAGGATAAGTTGGAAACTGCATGGGTTTTTATCCTCTTGTTTACATCTTGCAGAGGAGGGTTTCACAAATTACAAACACCTTTTGCACACACACATTATATATACATATATTTATCTACATATGAATCTGCACTAATGATACATATTTAAATAACAAAACCAAACCCCAGCCCAAGTGCCATGGCTGTGAACTGAACACAAAGGTGTTTGGTTTTTTTTTAAATAAAAATTGGAAAATAAAAATTCTCCCTTCCAGCAAAAGTACTATCATCTGCTAAAACCCTTCCCAATATACTGAAGCAAAGTTACTCATTGCCATATACACTAAATAATACCAGCCAGGTGAGTTTTTAAGTTGGTATGTTAATGACTGCAATATTCACAGGAGACTTTTAATGTAAATCTGTGTATTGCCCTTTCAAATTGCTTGGTTTTACTCTAAAACTGGAAATGATCAAAACAGTGGAACAACTATTTACAGAAAAAAGGCGTTCATTTTTTCTACATTTAAAAATTTTATTTTAAATTATCATTTTCAGCCAGACCTTTTAAGTGGAAAAACTTTTTTTCCTTTAAAAATCAAAATATTTCTGACATACAACCAGTGCCAGCTGATAAACAGGAATTTATGTCAAGCAACTGAAAGAAAAATAGTCTGTGACTGCCTAGGCAACATATTTTGTAACCAAATTTAGTATTAAAATGTATATCCTATGCAGAAATGATATATTATTGTATAAATGTTTAGAGGAATATATAGTAACTGTTATAAATAGTGTACCATCACTGACACAGTAGTAAATCACCTCCTTTTTGTGGCCACTGCCTGCCCGGTTTTACCTATTATACAACAATTCCCCCTGGCTTGTGGATCTCACCGGGCGGTCGGGCTGGCAGCAGGGTCAGGATCAAGTGCTGAGTGTGACCACCACATAAGCAATGGCAGCCCCTTTCCCCCATCCAATTCTTCTTGTTTGCTTGGGGGTCTCTCCTCAGCTTTTATAGAAGGGAAGGAAAGCAGAGGGGAAATAGTGTAACTATAGCACAGAGATGGTTCTTGCTTTCCAACTGGCAAATATAAATGTTTCTGTATGTCACTTTGCTGTTGTGTTTTTTTAATCCAAGCCCATAATAATTCTGCAGAGTAATCCTCTTTGTGCAAAAAGGAGAAGAGCAAACCACTTCCAAGTCCAACTTGTGTCCTTTTAACTTGAAATGTGAAAACCTCTCAGTCTCTCAAAACTACAGAAGAACCAGCAAGGAAGGGGGAATTCCGCACAGCACAGGGCAGAGGACAACAGGATTTTCCTGAGTACGAGCCTAACAATGCGTCCAACACGTTTCCCCAGCTTCCCCCCGGCACGGCGGGGTGGGAGAGAGTTTTCATGGAAGGGGCACCGGTGGGCAGGCACCGCGCTCCGGAAGGAGGGCCCCTGGGCTGCGCTCACACAAAGGGCTCCCAAAGCCGGGCCTGTCAGCCACCAGCAACCCGAAGAAGGGCTTACGAAACCCTTCCTCTGTGACAAGGGAAATGTTTTGCTGCAGTGACTTCTGTGGTGCAGACTCCATCCTGAACACTGGGAACACGATGCGCAATAGACTAACACACCTGGTGAGCTTAGGGGCTGTCTAGGAATGGATCTGGGGACAGCAATCAAGAAGGAAACCTGGACTAAGGGTAACTACTGCTACAGCAGGACGTGAGCGATGGCACTGCCTGCTCTGTCATCTCCCCACCCAAAGATGCTGCCCCGTAAAATTAACGTGCAACCATTAAGAGCATCTCCTTCAAAATGGCAGTGATCCACAGCTTGCTACCCTGCACTGAGGCTACTCCATGGGCGCAGGCATTAGGCATGCAGACCTGGGCACTCAAAGCCATGACGGAGGAGCTCAACGAAGGTCCCTGCAGCTAACTAGCAGGCTCAGGATGTGGACTCCACTCCTACTTTCCCAGGGGCACTTACCACAGAGTCGGCTCTGTGCTGGGGGTAAAGCTTGACCTGCTGCTGGGGTAAGGGACTTCAAACCCACCCCCTTTTGCCAATCACTCACATAGAAAATACCAACAGTTTGCTGCTACTCTGCATACTGCCACATGTATATAAATCTGTAGACACCTACCCACCAAGCTATGACAACATTACAAATACTGATTTTTAACGTTTATAACAAGCTGTTTTAAAATACTCTGGACCAAATTCAGATGCACAAATACAAGTCTCCAGGAGTGGTACAAGTCTGTCTGAGGGCAGAATAGGGCTCCAGGTATTCGACAGAGTGTTTATGGAGTTTTAAAGTATATTTTCTGTATCAACTTTTTTTTTCCTTCGGCATTCACTAAGTGCTACTTACTGTAAATGTCTTTTTTGTGTTATGGCAAGTATTCTGAGTTTCAATGTGATGCACTTAACATGTCCATGTAAATTTTTAATTTTTGGAACCAGTCACTTCACACTCACTGACTCTAAGAAAGCTCTAGCACACACAACCAAAAACCTTTGCTGAAAATCGGCAACAAGGCCTAAAAGTCTATTTAAAGATGCAAATGTGTGTGAATAGTTAGTGCAGATGTTTTTCTACACCAACTGTACTTGCTGAGTTTCACCATTTCCATAAAGCACATTAAAACAAGTGTGTGAACACTCTGAGATGAAAGTACCAAGCACTCCTGAGACTTCCAGTGGAAAGTAGAGCTGCCTGACTTTACTCCAAGCAGACAGGAATGCCCATGATTCAGCAGCCTGAGTAAATAAAAGAGGTCCTTATTTCCTAATTTTGCTGGCTGGCCACACTGCAACAGTCTCTGTGCTGCTGCCAAAGGGGATGCAAAACTGGAACTACACCCAGCAGCTGAAGGACTGTCTTTGTTAGGCAGCCAGGCCTTCCTGACCATCTTCTGGCAACAAAACTACCGTATCCTGCGAGGAAGACCTCCATCTCAAACTTGATAGTTCTCTAGTCTGCCTAATAGGACGAAACAACAGATTTTGCCTGGTCTGTGTTGGAGGAGGACAGCTGGAAACTCAGTTAGTAGCAGAGTAACACCTGTTCAGTCATATTTATGGGGGAAAGTGCTCAGTAACAGAAAAGTGAAGTAATACCAGAAGGAGTTATCCCACGAAAGGGGAGGGAGGAAGGGGGAAGCATCAGAGCACAAAAGCACCTCTGTGGAGTTAGCAGCCAGCCACTCATGTGCCAACCCCAGTAGTCGTGAGGTCTTAAAAGTGATCTTATCCCTAGAGCTGCTGAACTGAATTAACAGTACCGCTTCAGAAGAACGTCATTTAGTCACCATGAAGGTTTATGACATATGCATGCTTTGGCTGGAATATGCTTTGGGGCACTTGCTTTATCATGCCTTATTTTTCTGTATGATTTAAACATGGTTTTGCTGCCACTAGATAAATGGCCACATTCCTAAAGCAAATGTCAGCAAACCTTTATGTGCCATAATACACAAGGTTCCTCTGATAGAACAGAGTTTACAAATATGAACAAATTAATATTTTCAATATCCTGTAAGCAGCAGCTTTCTATTTTCCCTATTTTGCTGCTCAAGTAACTGGGGCACAGACAAGCTGGAGCAGTTTGCCTCAGGTTACAAATGTAATCTGTGCAAAGGAGGAAACAGAACCCATATCTCCCAGGTCTGAACCATCCCCGCAAGAAAAATTCTTTCTCCCCCTGAAACACAGAGCTGACAAAATGCTTAAGCTGCTGGACCCGACCAAAGAGAAAGCCCAGCAGTTTAGCTGGACAGACACCTCCCAGCTCTAGGTCCTGCTGATGATTTCTTGTTACTTTGCCCCCCTTAATGGTAATGGAAGACTGGTCACAAACTATCCCCCAGGACCCCATCTGAAGTACTAAATAGCAAGGTTTCTTTTAACAGGTACAAAATTTACAACAATGGGTTACATAGGACAGGAATAGATACTAAAAAAGACAAATCAAGTATACCAGGCAGCAGCACATAAAACAGATCTACTACATACTGCCACATGCAAATGGATTATGAATGCACATATATGCCCTGAATTGTTGTGTAGTTATTATTTGTTGTCCCACCACCAGCCAAAGACCTGTTCATATACCACCATGTACACATATATGTGCTTGTACAAACATATTAAAAGGGATGGACAGCACATACAAATGTACAGCTTCGTTAATTTACCAGATGGCATATACAAGATGGAATGTGAATTATGAGAAAGGAAGGACTAAATAGCAGGTAGGTAGGTCAGTTAACTGGATGTATGATAGAGCTCCACAGTTTTAAATCCTTGCATTTTTGTGCAGGTAATTGAGTGAAGTGGTTATTATATATCATATAGTTTACTTGTAATGGCCGTTTCAGGTTTTAGTGCTGGACACATTTTATATTACTACCACCACTAATTGTCTGCAGGGCTACCTTGAAAATGAGATAAGGAATCTTAGGGGAATATGCAGGTGTGAATAAATAGTAAACGAAGAGGTTAGATATTGCTGAAATAAAACAATATTGTGCTGTGTGCTGAATAGATCTAAATAACTAGAAGATCAAAGGATAGTGTTTAAGGATTAACATGACTTCAGTGATGGCCTAGCATATGTGTCACTGAAAAAAACTACAGTTTTGAAGTTTTTAACAGAATTAGCAGCTAGTGCCTTTAAAGTCACTTTAAATAAAATATACATTATTACATAATATTTTCTGTTTACTTTCAATAGAAATGTACAGAGTTTTGGAAAAGCTGCAACTTTAATATAACCATCACATTTTTTTCACATCAGTGACCCCACATTAAACTCACTCATTTGTCTCATAACTTATTAAATGTCTTGAAAACTAATACTCTGTAATGGGCATTCAAAAGAGAAATGTGAACTTTAAAAATTATTTATAATTTACAGATGTTTTTTAAAATCTATCAATATTTCAGAACTGCTTTGGGACCACCAATTAAATGCATTAACAGTTAGATTACTGGGGGAGAAACATACAGGGGTTCCTGACCAGAATGGAACTGAGACAGCTGGGAGGGAGGTTTCCCCATTTTAAATTTCATAACCAGAAGAAAGGCAGCTCCTAGAAACAACAAATAAGTCACTTTAATACCTTGCAGAAAAAACCTGCTTGCTTTTATAAAATGCCTTTAATGCCTACATAAGTAGTTAACATTCCTGTATTGCTCTCCTAAGGTAACCTAAGCCTCCAGTTCCATTATGTCTTCTTCAGAAGACATATTACTATTACATATGTAGAGAAGAGCATAAATGTTTTCCTTGATTGTTGCTTAAAGTTCACTTGAACAGACGGAGCCCAATGAATTCCATCTTCTATAGCCAAATTAAAGAAAATGTAAGCAGTTCGCATTCTGCTCCACCTTTCAAATCATACAAAAAACCCAGTTTGCAACTAGAAGAAAACAGAGCTACTCTCTACTTGTTTGAGGAAGCTGGTGTTTTTTGCCTCTCTAGGCAAAGAGAAAGAATAAGTAATTTTCCACAGTCCTGTACATATAACTAATGACAGCCACCATTCTCAAAGCTTATTATACTGCTTTACATAATTGGGAATCACATGTCATACAATTAATTTACAGGGGTTGTTTAGTTGTGACTATACAAGTACTAAGCGATTCAAATTAGCTCATTTGTCCACTGCTTAAATGTGACAAACACATCTACACCGTATTTCTTCTGCTGTTATGTTGCTGTTTCTTTTAGTAGTTGTTTTTGTTTGTTTGTACAGTATGAGTCAGAGACCACCAGGCTCGTTCCATCTGAAGCTAGGGTCAGAAAAAAATCACCCTGAGAATAATTACATTTAGAATCAGGATAATGGGAGAGAAAAAAAAAACATTCAAATACTCTAGCAAACTTGCACATAATAATGATCTCCTAAGAATCTGTATATTAACAACCTCATGTACTAAAAGTAGTGATTCAGTCAATCAGGTCTTTGCTAGAAAATAATCATTATAATTTGTTGTGTTGGTAACAGTATTTGTACTGCTTATTAAGAACAGCAAATGACTAGGGGATAACAGTTCAGGTTCTTCACTGGACTCCAATACTTCTCTCTGCATTCTGCTTTCACTGGGTCATGCTCTCCCCAGGCATCACCATGAATAGGACCAGAAACCCTCTCCCTCAAACCTCCCCCCATGCCACAGCTCCTTTTGAAAGCTGCTGAAGTGTACAGAAGCCTCAGAGACAGCAGCCCCTGTAACACAGTCCCAGTCATCAAAGTAACTTTCCAGTAGCGTACAGGTGTTAAAAGGAGTTGACTGCTTCTTTCTTTCGGAGGTCACATTATAAGGAGTGCGAAGTCAGAGAAGTATCATTCTTTCTCTTTCCTTCCCAAAATCAAATGGTCCCAAGGTTTGGACCCTGAGAGCTGAAGACCCTGCTTCACAGCTGCCTTCCAAATCCCCATTCCCACACATCCCCGAGACTCCATGGGAAGAAGGGCAGGCTGTCAAAACCTCTCTAGCTGGAGGCTCAGACAAAAGATGGAGCCCCTGGGCAGGATTTTCAGGCAGAAACCCCTGAGATGCCAAGCACCACCCTAGGTCCTTATTTGAGTATCACCCTTCTTTCAGTTTATCTAGAGTGTAATCATGAAGGTCTGCAGGGATTGCTGCAGGTGTACCTCACACTCGGGCGCTTTCCCTTTTTATCATGTCTGCCTGTCCCTCCCACCTGTGCCTACATTTCAACCACCCCAATTCATTGCTTCATTGCCTCTAGATCAGAACAGCAAGACACACTTTGCAGGGGGCTAAAATAGGACAAAGAAAAGAAGGAAGGCAATGTCTAGAGAAGCAAAAGAAAGGAATATAGGATAGGGAGAAAGAAGAGAGTAAATAATTGCATCTGAAAGAAACCCAGGCAAAGATATCACAAGATCTTTTATAGGAAATGGAAAGTAAAAGGAATGAAGATCAAGCGAAAGCAATGCAGGCAGTTAATGCTTTCAAAATCATATCAGTGTTATTTTACAGTGTGCTAGAATTAAATACAGTAAATAAACACAGAACTGCTTATTTCTTAGAATGACAGGGATGTGGTGGCAGTCTTATTTACACAGGTGAAACCTCCTGGACCTAGATCTGCAAAGGGACTTAGGTGTCTCCAGGAGCCTAAGAAGCAAAGAAAGCAGGATTCATGGGGCCCTGGGGGGGGACCAGGAAAAGGTCTGCAACCTCGCAGCTTGGGCACTCAGCCGGGAGAGGGGAGTACTGGGCTCTTCAATACATTAAAGAGGCACTGGATGAAAACAAAAATAAACCTAAGCACAAGTTCCAGACTGCAAGAACCCCTGGACTAAATGAGTGCCCTTCTCAGCAGGTTAACAGTTCCTCCTCAAATATGCTCCTACCAGCCCTATGAATAGGACCGTCTTTGGTTCAGCAAGCCCAGCTTCCATGGGAAGAGACCTCTGCACAACTGAAGACCCTCTGCTCAGAGGCAGGAAACGTGGCTTTGAATCCCCTCAGGATGCTGAGGGAACTGAATCAAGGCTTCATGACATTTAATATTCTACCTACCTGGCCCCTATATAGGGAAGACAGGAACACAGCACTTTCTGCTGAAAGTGCCCACCATGTCCTGGTCTTAGCACGATGCTCTCTTTGTAGCAGGCTGCTCAAAGATGATGGGTACCCAGACACTCACACTGGAGTGGTTTGCATAGACTGCCAAACCACAGATATATGAGAAACCTTTCATGAAAAGAAGAGGTGCCTACTAAATTAGGATGAACCCAGAGAGGTAGGTTTTGGATAATCAATTCTGTTATACTCTTACAGTCCAACTACGTCCCATTTTTGGCTCCCTTTTTTTAGATCTGGCTGTTAGTGCAGATATGCTGCGCAGCTGTTGAAAGTGATGTCCCCAAGCAAAGGTAGCCTTGTTTTTTAAACTAAGTCAGTGCCCAGAATGGCAGACAAATGCTTACACTCACACTAGTGCAGCACAGTCACACTGGGGGCAGCATGTCTCAGGAACTTTTTCACTGTAGTCAGAACACCAAGCACGACAATACAGCTCTTTCTCCCTGACCCTCATTTTCCCCAGGTTTCTTAAATGGGGACACATGTGGATGTCTGTGCCATGGGATAGGCACAGGTTGGTAGGTGTGTGTGGCTTCCACTAATTTACAGGTGGTCTAGCCTGTAAGGGAAATCTAATGAATTTCCCAGTTCAGAATGGTCAGAAGACCAAATCCTACTATGAAGCTGTCACATGTAAACTGTCACACCTCATGTCTTCCTATCTTGCAGAACAACAGTCCCTCCATGTGGAATTCTGCAAGGTAAGAGTCGCATTTAAAATACATATGCTTCATTCAGTCTTGTCACATTAATACAGGTTTATTTGGGTGATTTAATTATAAAAAAGAAGGGGAAATTCTTTGCAAAAGGCAGCATTTTCCTTCTCTTCTGTATAATTTCCATTCACCAAAGCCTGCTGAAACTCATGATTAACTGTCTGAAATAGAGGCCTCTCCAGAAATAAAGAGATCTCTGCTTTGTTAAAGCCTATATCTAAAACAACCCTTTGTAGCTTCCTCAGTGTAGAATGGAAGCCTGGTGTGAAATACAGTAAATTAAGCCTTCTGCTGTCAGAGCTGGAAATAAGAGTAGAGCAGAACAGCGGCTGGATTTGAAATGATTTTTTTTTTTTATTGGCTTCATTTACATCCTGTCTAAGGTCTTCTGAGCAGCTCAAGGTATCTTATCTCTGGCTACCAGGGGGTATTTTGCAGTCAAAGCAGTTAACGTACTTTCTCTCTCTCTCTTTTTTAAGGCCATCTTATCTTATCAGACAGATCTCTTCAGGCTGAGGAGAACCCATACTTATCAGTAGCTGTACACTGTATTGACAGCTCAGTGCTGCTAGGGACAAATGAAAGCTTAGGCTAGAGAAAGATCAGTTAACCTGTTCCACTCTCAGTTTAGACTAATCTTTGGTTTGTCTAACTTCAGGAAACATTGTATGTCTTTTCTTTGTTTACTTGGACAACAGAGGCACACAATCACACCATCAGTTGCTAAATCTGGTGCCCAGGTACAGCCCCTGTAATAATCCCAAAGGCAGTCTGCCTGTTGACTTGTGTGAGCAGTGCTCTGCTGACCTCCAGTAACTCCTTCTCTAGGTGACCACAGGGCTGGTGGACTGTTCTGGGGGCCTCTGAGAGTTCCTGGAATCACCCAGCGAAGCAAAAACCGAGGGCCGTACACACTCACAATCTGTAAATCAGCCTTTCCCCAGAGCAAGGGGAAGTATGCACATGGAGGGCCAGAAAAGGAAAGTAATTCCACTTATGGTCTAAATGGAAGCAAGGAGACTGAAGGTGATCCTAAAGAGCATTCTGAAAGCCTGTTTTTGGATCAGAAGATAAGGTGAAGAAGCAGTTTATTTAGCCATGTCCTCCATATCCTACCAGGGTAAACTTTACAGCACAATTTGACACAATTAGTAACTAAGAGCAGTCAGCCCTGCTAACAGGAGATACACAAGCCAGCTTTCTCACTTACCACAAAGATACAAATGGCAAGATTTCTCTC